AATATTGATAAATACATTATGAAATTTTGTGTTTTTAAATTCAATGAATATTTTTGTTGCACACATTTTTCTTTCTGGATACTTCTTTCTGATCTATAGCTTGCTAATGAACACAATGTAACTGGGCATTGTTTTATACGCTTGGTTCGCATAAAAATATTTGCACAGTTGCTGTTGCCCCTTATATGAAGGTATGTAATATCAGCCTGTCTCTTTCGCCGGCACTCGCCCCGTCTCTTTTGTGCCAGGAAGAAACCTTTGCAGCACCACTGCCACTTCATTCTGATGCCGCACCGCGTGATAAGTGGGTCAGTAAAATGCGCGCCGGCGAAAAAAAGCACAAGAAATAATATAAAAAATAAAAAAAAAACGAAACTGAAATAATAAAAAAGTGTCACACCTGCTTTGGGGGCGTGACAGTGGGGTGGGTGCTTTACATAAATGTTATAAATATAATAAAAATGTTATTTACACGCTTTTGAAAAGAGAAAGTCCAGAACGGGGCGCGCACATATACGAGACGTGCATTCATTTACTTTCGCATTTGCTTTTTATTCCGCTTTGTTTCGTTTTTGATTTTATTTCGCCAGTTCACCCCTTTTCTGGGCTTGCTTAATTTCGAGCAATTTATATGTGAGAATTTTTCGGGGGAGATGTTTGTACATGGGCAATAACACAACTTTTATGGCCAATTTATGGTGGGTATTTTTTCGTGTTGGTTTGTCAAACGTGCGTTAAATTCGGCAAGTTGACAAGTGGGTTTATTTTTCGCGGGAAAGTTCGGTGTAGTTGGGATCGGGGCTAGATAAAGGTAACAAGATATCCTCAGTTTACAGTTAGGTGCCTAAGATCGAGCAACTATTTTACGACGAAACTGTTTTCTTTTCTCACGCCTAATTCTTAAGAACAAGCTGTGAACAAAACTATAAATAAACGGTTATATAAATAAATTAAATTACGCATGTATCGAATTTGATTTTGGCTCTGAATAGTAGAACACTCTAATATTTCTATTGAATTTATTTTGAGCTCAAGAAAATGAAAAGTACATTTTAAAATAAATGTTTTTTGAGCTATGACTAAACAATATAGTTTTTTTTACTCACATTATTTATTTTAATATTTAAAATATAAAGAAACCTTGTTAACTATTCTCTAAGTTAGAGTACGCATTTCGCTAACAGTGTGCGAAACTAAAATAAGTTTTCTTCGCAAACGTTATAAACTTGTTCAGCGGTCAATGAACTTGGAATGGGTGTGTTTATTTGTTTCATTCGTTGCGGAATGTAAACAATCTTTGTTGAAACGGAAATGCTTTCACATTTGCATAACGCAAATCGCAAAATCTGTGGACCATAAGTATTTATTAGACAACTGTTCTGACAAACAATATTTAGCCAATTTTGCAAGTTTTTTCTTTACTTAATTTTTATTTGATTTTCTAGTAATATGGGAAATATATTTTGCGATTTCAATATTAGCACATATATAAAACATAGCTGTCATGCTTCGAAATATTCTTGGGATGTGAATATTATAATAGTTTTATTCAAATTAAATAGATAATAGTTTATTATAAAATCTTAAAATTGTTATACATGTTAGATATGAATGAAAGAACAATATAAATACTTTTCTGTTTCACAATCATTTATCAAATTTATTCTGGTTCACTTAATAGTTAGCTCCTATCTTTTAATCGAAACAGACACACCTTTGACGTCGTTGACATCGCTTTCAGTTTCAATTCCAATTCCGATTCCCAAGGTCGATCCCGACCTACATCCTGCTACAAATAACTCGATGTCGTCGCCATGGCTCGTCCAGTTCCCGCTGGATTGTGGAGTGCATCGGTATAAATGAATGGGCAAAAAAAAACTGTTGCACATTTAATGAAGGCGCCCCGCCGCTTCGCACTCCTTGACAAACGTAATTTATGCTCATCTCCAGACCGCACATAAGCGGCACATAAGCTCCGGACACTTGTCCAGGCGATTGACAACATGACATTTTGAATGCGAAACGCCACTAGTCGGCGGACAGGAGTTCCCGGACAAACGGACAACGGACAGTGGACCAACGGACAGGAGTAACTCGCATTTCGCTGTGGTAAAATATGACAGCGGGAGCAACAAAAAACTAGCGTCGATTAAAAAACAACCGCTACGTGAGCTGCATGCCAATTGGCATATCAAGATTTGCAATGTGCCGGGCCACAGAGCTCAGTTCGGTGCTTTTTCTGCTTCCAGACCTTAGAAGCGTGTTTGAGCCGCTGGCACGCGTTCCATCACCATCTGCCGGCCCCAATTGAAATGGCCACAAGTGTGGTGCCGAAAGTGCACTGAAAGTTAGAAAGGGAACATTAAGTTTATTTCAAAACCATAAAATGCTATAATCTAATAGTTCGGCTGGTAAGAAAATGCCTTGAAAAATCTGTTTGTCGCATAACCTATTTTGCTTGCATTAAAAATATAAAAAAAAAACCTAAATGGCAATATGCAAAGGAGATTTCGTTTTATGTTTACTAATGTATTTTATGAATTATTCCTTAACCAATTTATTGTCTAAAGTGAATTTCAAAAGTACTTAGCTTTAAATGTTTGGTGTCAAGTTAAAGCTTTTAATAACTAGTCTAGGAATAAGTACCACTTACTAAAATACTTTCAAGAGATTAAATCTCTATTGTATGTAATAAAAGTAAAAATTGAATTTATATATAATTAATGTTTACAGAGATAGGAAAATTAAGTTGCCAGTTTAGTGGTGCGATCTGCTGTGGACTCTCACTGGTTCGGTGGTGCGATGACGCGGACAATCTGACATTTAGCCACTGCCAGTTGCCAAGGCTCTCAATTAGCTTACAACCGAAATCACTTAAGTTCTCATTGCCTGTTGGGCATAAATTCTGGCCAAAATATGACTGGATGGCGGAGCTTATTCGTGTTGTTGTTCTTATGGCCTGTTCAGCATGCAAATCTCGTTGCCAAAGAAGTGGGCCAAAAACTAAGTTACAAATGTTTCTTTTTAGTCATTTCGCATTTCTTTTTTGGGGCATATGAGCTAATGCTAAGGAGATGCAAATTTAATAATATGATTATTATACCCTTGCAGAGGGTATTATAATTTTGGTCAGAAGTTTGTAACGCAGTGAAGGAGACGTTTCCGACCCCATAAAGTATATATATTCTTGATCAGGATCAATAGGGGAGTCGATATAGCCATGTCCGTCTGTCCGTCTGTCCGTCTGTCCGTCTGTCCGTCTGTCCGTCTGTCCGTCTGTCCGTCTGTCCGTCTGTTTCAATACCGTTTGTGAGCTCAGTTTAAAAGCTAGCGATCTGAACTTTCCACGCGTCCTAAAACATGTGTACGCAGATCAGTTTGAAAATCGCCCCGATCGGACGTCTATATCCTATAGCTCCTATAGGAACAATCGGATATACCTAGCAAGTATTGATGATATGATGATTAGTGTAAAAGCTATTGACATGAATCTTTCCAAATCGTATTTTTTTATACATACCTTGATCAGGCTAAAAGCGCGTGCTGATCGGACGTCTATATCCTATAGCTCCCATACAAACAATCGGATATACCTTGCAAGAATTGATGATATTTTGCGCAGTGTAAAAGCTGTTGACATCAATCTTTCCAAATCTTATTTTTTATGCATACCTTGATCAGGGTAAAGCGCTTGGCGATCGGACGTCTATATCCTATAGCTCCCATAGGAACAATAGGGTGAAATCGGTTAAAATTTAATGATTTTTAGGATATTTCGCACAGTATATAAGCAATTGACATGAATCTTTCCAAATCGTATTTTTTATGCATACCTTGATTATGATAAAAGCACGTGACGATCGGACGTCTATATCCTACAGCTCCCATAGGACAACAGGGTGAAATCGGTCCAAATTTGATGATTTTCTGAATTTTTGCGTAGTGTGTAGCTACTGACATAAATTTTTCCAAGTCTTATTTATTTACGCATATCTTGATTAGGGTAAGCGCTTGCCGATCGGACGTCTATTTCTTATAGCTTCCGTAGGAAAATAGTTAAAGGCTGCGAAAGTATCCCTTTTTTTATTTTTATATGACATTTTTGCGTATAAAGCAATTGACATTAAACGATGAAAATCTAGTTTTTTATGTTACCTTTTCCTTTGGCTCTTTTTTAGTTTTAGCAATTTCGGCAAGTCTGCGTTTAAAACTTCGGCTTGCCGAGTTAGCTTTCTCGTCTTTTTCAGTTAAAACTGAAAAATATTTAAGATTTAATTTTTAATACACAAATTGCTTGATTACGTCTTAATTGTAGTTCTTAGGATTCTGGTATAATTTAGGAAAGTGTATTCGAAGTCCGGGATTTTTAAACAGTGTTCTCTCTTTTTGGCATTTATTCAAATTAGCCTTTAAAACAAGCAAAAGCAGAGCATTAAGTTCACACAGACACGCCGTTATGTGTATACAATTGTATTTTATACATTTAACTGGTAAGGTTTCACTGGCCGTCCGACGTGGACAAGCGGCCTTATTGAAATGCAGCGGACGTCGGCCCAAAGGGAAACAGAACGCAAAAGATGCTTAAGTTATTATTGATATTATAAAAAACATTGTCATGGCGAATTGGTCAGTGAATAAGACGGCTGTTTCATCGCCGACTCGGATGTTGGAGTTCTCCGCTCATTAATATTGAAGAAAGCGAGGCGGCTTAAATTTAAAATGCTTAATTAAATGTGCGTTTAACGTCAGTGGGTTTCAGCAAACATTATAACAAATGGTCTGAATGTTGCACTGGGAAAAAAAGTTTTATGTTTTCATTTCCCATTTACATATTTTGATTTAAATTGTTTGGTATAATAAAGGTTTGGCAATCTTTGATTATTTTGATTTTAGATATACAAATATTGATTCAAAATTTGACAAATATAAAAATATTTAAACAAATTTTCAGCTAAAAAACAATATTATTAAAGATAACAATCGAAAATACTTATTTTCTTTTAAAATATAAGCATTTATTTATTATAAAATTACATGAAACTCTTAAATAAAATACACGTAGTGGTTTTTGTACAACAAACATTGAACTAAAAGAGGAAATAAAATAACAAGCAAATTCCCCAATAATAAGGGTGTTATAGAAGGTTTACTTAAAGACTTTTTTAAGGCTTTCCTCATTGAAATGCAGATCCCTAAAGCACTCTCTTGGAAGAAATCTAAAATAAAATTTTTTGTTAAGAAATAAATAATAAGTCAGTATGGGAAACGAGTTTTATATTGACCTGTGGATCACTGGCGATATCAGTTTCGAATTAATAGTCTTTATATCGGTGGGTTTAGTCACGAGGGACACCAGGGCTCCCACCACAACGGTAGTGACAACTCCAATGGGATTTATCCAGTGATAGGATAGACGGTACAATGGAAAGACTTCCTCTTGATCCACCCAGTGTTTTTGTGGGGTGGTCACATTTCCTAAACATCCCTCTACGGACACGGGAAGCATTTGGGAGCTTAATTGGCCAAGTGCTGCAGCGATTTGCGATCCAAAGGATAGCCAGGCTGCCAGAATTATACTTATGATCCCTCCGGTCGCCGTGCCTACAGTATTCGACCAAGGAACCAGCATTCCTAGGGTAAATATGCCCAAAGCAGTACCAGCTGTGATGGACGCTATTGAATTGCAAACACTAAGGACTCCTCTCAGCTCCCGTATCAGAAATACAAGGAGAAATGCCATAACTCCTTGGAAGACAATGCTCGACTTGATCAGAATGGTGGATACTCTCTCGCTGGGTTGTAACTTCAGGCATCCCCGAACTATATCTTCCAGAAACACCAATGCAACGGTGTTGAAACAGGAAGAGAGTGTACTTAGGCCAGCGCCAAATATCCCAGCAATAAACAATCCGGGCATTCCATAGATGTGACCCACAGTTTCGACCACAAACAGGGGCAGGAGTTGATCGTCATGCTGGAAAGTATTTTGTTTGTAAATAATGAATATTTGAAAACTATATTTACCCACCGCGATAAGTCCTGCACTTAGAGGATCGCAATCCTTGTACTTCTCAAAGATCAGCAATCCTAAAAAACAACAAAGAGCAACGAAGATAGTTATTCCAACGGTGAAAAGGTACAGGGAATCTCGGGATTTTTTCAGCGAAGGCAGTGACATATAACGCTGAACCATCGCTTGATTCGTGACATTGATAGAGGTCCAATATGAGAAGCCCCCGATGAGAACGCTCCAAAGGGTATGGCGAACATAAGGTGAGGCATTCGTGTTGGCCAATATTAGGCGTCCTCCCTTTTCCACATCCTCGAACAGAGCACCAAAGCCATTGGAATATAACAAGGCGAAAACAGCAACGGCGGTAACGGAAAAAAACATAACTACCATTTGCCAAACATCTGTGTGGACCACAGCCTTAAGACCGCCCTGTCGATGTATAAATATTTGTTAACTAAACAAATTATTTAGATCTTAACTACAGATACTTACCATTAGAGTGTAGGAAACACACGCCAGCACAATTAACACTTCTATCAGGTGAGAATTGAGACCAGAAACTAGATTTTACAATAAACTGATATGAAATGTACCACAGTAGCCAAAACTACAACTTACCCTGATTCAAAGCTAACGCCGGAACATATATAACGAATGGCATATAGGATACCTGAAATATTTCCATTATTAAAAAACAATTAATATGTGTAATAAAATGTAACTTACGGTACTAAAAATAAACATAAAGGAAGCTATGGTCCTTACACTCGAGTTAAAACGCATCTCCAAATACTACAGTATTAGAGAAATAAATATAAAGTAGGTGCAGGTACATTTTGGCTGACCAACCTGGTATGCAGAATGAACCTTGAGAGCCGAGTACACGGGTAAATAAATATAGGATATAGCAATTCCCTGGAGAATAATTGGCATGATAACAAGAAAGTACTGTGTGCCGTAGTGATAGATCTCTGATGGTATGCCCATTATGGTAACGCCCGATACAAAGCTTGAGATTAAGTGGGACATATTACATTAGTATTATGGGGTCATAACCATCGCTACTCACCTCCCTATAAGACTAATGGAAACGGGGACCACATTCATGTTACGGGAGCCCATCAGATATTCGTCTATCTTATCCGACCCAAAATTTTGTTTAAGACTCTTGCCTTTCGCGATATTAGTCAGTTCCACATCATCTATATGTTTGCTGGTTTTCCTAGAATATTAGACTAGTGTAATGATATACATATATGAAAGTCACTTACTTGATGCCTCCAAAATAGAGTCCCGTTCCGGTGGATAATATGGTCATGCCCACGAGCACGATGTAGTCAACAGTGCCGAATCTGTAGCTGTCCATTGTTTGGGGTATCCAAATGGAAAAAAGGTTTACCTAATGGATGGAAATTTCGTTTATTAAAATCAGAAGTTATCACTCAATCGAAAGAGCACATTTTAGGTTTTTAATAAAACTTTGGTTTTAGAATTTAACAAATTTGGTGAAATTTCTGTTACAATTTATTTGCTTGTGCTTCTTTAAGATAACAGTAACAGCCGAACACAATAACTTTATATTTATTTCAAGAATAGTAAACTTGATAATATATGCGTGCGGTTTTATTTATTGTTTGATACTGAATTCGACTTCTAAAATAGAAGGAGAGCAAAGGGAAATAAGAAGATCTCTCGATTTTGTCTTAATACTAATACAAACGCTCCGCTGCACAGTGGAAGTTGCACCTTATTAAGAGAAAAATGAATATTGATAATAACAAGAGGAAGTATTTATAATATTGTATTTCGTTTGATTGAAAGAATAAAATAGGTTTAAGTTAATTTATTTCTTTAAAAAAGGCTAAAAACTATAGGGATTGAAAGATATGAAAAATATCTATATCCCAATTAGTGCATTTTAGTTAAAAGCAAGCAAAGTTAAAAACTAGTGGAATCTATAATTCTTATTTTTCTTACTAGATCGGGCTTTCTGACCATAGTACGCTGATTGCAGCTGCGTTTTAGGCTCTGCACATATGACTGGTACAGTTATTTTATCATAGTGGCTGTCAAAAAACAATGATAAGCATTCAAATAGTTGTCCTAATGTAATAATAAACACTTAGAATAATGAATATGACCGTGTCGACATTTAACTTCAATATCAAACTGATCTAAGAAAACCAAAACTATTCTTTTTTAGCACAGGCTTAGGTTTTTATATGATTAAAAATAGATTTAAAATAACTATTTATCAAAGCAATAATGAATCTCTTTCTGATTTGAAAGTCTTTCTTACTGTGCAAAAAATCTAAAAAACACAAAAAAACCTTCCTTTGGGATTTTACCGAATTGAAGTGAACAAATCAACAGGAAATGGGAGCTTAATATTTGTTTTAGTGCAGCTGGCATCTGTTGGCCAGTTGGCAGCGTTTTAGATTCCGTTTCGCCAACCCAAACCCGAACCCGACCTATGGCACTAATTACGTGCTGTTGTTTGGTTGCCAGCTTAGACAAAGTGATGTCGAGGACAAAGTCGTCTGTCGTCCATCGTCCATCGTCCACAGTACATCCTGTAGCTTGTCGTCCTGTAGCCTGGTGTCGTCTTCGATGCTCGCTAATCCATTACCAGCGTCATTAATCTAATGAGCTGCTGCTGCTTGGCGCTCTTCGAGGTTGTTAGTTGCTGTTTGCCGATTGTTGTTGCCACTGGCGGCATGTGTCGAGTTGCCAGTGCCCCTGCATTTGGCCATCGATTTGTGCGCTCCAGTTTACTAACACGTGTCAGCAGCATTGGCCGCCGTCCATCACCTGATCCCCCAATGTGTTAATACATGGATATGCGATTGTGGCTGCCCCCTCTCCATCCCCTTATCCCCCTGCCCTTCTATATCTCCTCAATATATCCTTGTGTTTCCCAGCACTGTTGCTCGTTTGTTTGCTCGTGGCAATTAACTTGTGCTAAACTGTTATCAGCTTGTCATTGAATTGTGGACTGCGGATTGCGTATCCGACGAGTTGGCATTCAGCTTAAAGCATTACCTTTCACTAGATTCCGGTTTATCATTACTAGCAAAAGAAAACAACTTTTTACTAGGTACCATGCATATGTAGTATTCTTGAATTTTATTTTGTTATATTCTATCATCTTGTTTCTTTTAATTTATTTCAATTTGTTAAAGCCCTCTTTGCTTTTAGGCTTTATAACGTGATTACTGTTTATGAGCATTTAAATACATTTTTCAAAGTAAACAATTAATTAATTAGAATTATTTCTGTGAATATACTGTATGTTCACATAGTTTGTCACTTCGGGTGCTGAAAATAAATTGCATTTCCTGCTTTGACAAACATGCTAATGTTGATTGCGCAAATTCCTTGCACACATGCAGCTGCTAAATTCGGCACTTACCGCCCTTCCTGCAAAAAGTTTCTTCTGCCTCGACAAAATATTTTGTCGCCAAAAGCATTTCTTTAATTTAGTTGTGATTCAGATTTTCTCTTGTATTTGTATTTACACGTATATTTATGTGTTTTTTGGCAGTTGGTGGCTTTTTCGTTTTGGTTTTAGGTGTTGGTTGGCGTCTGGGTTTGACTATTTTTGTTGCTGGCAAAACTTTTCGGGCAGAAGAAACTTCTTCTCGGGCTGCAAAACAAAGGCGCAAATTAAAGTTGAAATTTCGGTGTTTTGCTGCAACAAATATATATTTATTTATATACAGTTGAGCTTCTATGGATAAAACAGGCATTTACCAAAAAACATTGCTGGCGCTTTCTATCGGGCTTTATACGCGGCCTTTTAATCAAATAAATGCGTTTATAAATAAATTAAGCAAGGTTTATCGAATATCTAGGCTAAGTAAATAAAAGAAAACAGCACTGGTTACGACAGGATTTATGTAGTTGTTGCTTTGTAGTTTTTAAAACTTTCTTGCCTAGATTGGAACCATAATATTTACTTTTTATTCTGAAACAATTCAATTTTCAGGTATTCATTTTAAATATAAGTAACTATATATATACATTGAAAATTATAAAAAATTCTGGTTCACATAAATACATTAGCAATTTGATTAAAGATTAATATTAGAACCAATCTATACAAAAAATGGATAATTTTTAGTTTGATTTAACGACTTTTGACTGTATTTATATTAAATTCATAATAGTTATAAATTTAACACTATAAGTGAGTACATATATTTATGTACATATGTACAAATAACGAGATTCAATTTTTTACGTCTGTGGTGTTTCTGCCAAGCATTTCCGCACTGGTCCAACATAAAATTGGAGCATTTCCGGTGCGCTTACAAAAGACAAAACAATAACAACGATCATATATATATAAATAAAATAAGGCAAAACAGCAGTCCGAAAAACGAAGACGAGAACAATGAAATTTTCTCAGCTACATAGTTTTTGGCCAACTTTGTTGCAGCTGCATTTCGCGTAAAGTTTTCAGAACTCAAGTCTCGATTTCTTTGATGAAGCAAAAACAAGGCGAAACCACAGCCACCGCAGCATCAGAGTTGAATCCGTGTTCAGTGTTCCAGCTCCAGCTCAAGATCCAGCACAGCCCAGCCATCCAACATCCCCACCACCCAAAAATATATTCACTTTCCTCCATCCCAGAAGAAAACAAAAAACAATTACAGCAACTAATAAAGAAACATTTAAAAAGCAAAAGTTTATGCCAGGGCCAGTACTGAGCTAAGTTCGCTTCCTTAAGAGCTCGGACTCTAGTCCTTCAGCAGTTTTCCTCAACGGTACATGAATAAGCAATTAAAAAGTTGTTATTAAAATTATTATGTGAAATCGTAATGAGAGTAGAGTGTAGTGTACGGACAAGTGCCGTTCTGCAGGGCAGTGTACAATTTGCTGTTGTTGCTTGTACTTTTCCATCAGTTTTTATTTCTTTTGCCCTCAGAGTTCAAATACATGTAAATGTGATAAGGAAGTGATTTTAACGCTGTAAGGCGAACAAAGTGAAAAACGCTGGGGACTAATATTGTTTTCAAACATTTACCAGTCAACACATAATCAATGATATAGAAAATATTTTCCATGCTACCCTTAATTAAAAATGTTGTTTTATAAATAAGCATTTTTCCACGAAGAATAAAAAAATATTTGCTTCGATATAATATAGGAAATTCTGACATAATTATATATATTGTAATATGTTTAAAAGCGAACTGGGTATCCTTTAGTCACTACTTCAAACGTTCGTACTAATTAATGTTACGTATACGTAGCTAGAGTATATTTCGCCTGTGGGGGCGATTTTCGAGAACTCTGGCTAATTGCTCGTAATTGTTGGCTGATAAAACTTCTGTCAGAGAGTTCACTGTACTGTCGGTGCCGGCCATTGATACGGTCAAAAGGATGTCAATGCCAGGACAGGTCGCCACTATCCACCACGCTGTTTGCTGCCCACTGCGGTTGGATCAACACAACCTTGTGCCATTTTCCTCCTGCAAGCCAACATAAAACAACTAGGATGCCACAGCCACCGACAAACTGACTTTCCTGTCCCGATGCATACCAGATGTAGATGCAGATGACGATGAGATGCCCAGTTGCGGGTTTCTGGCATTTTGTTTATTTTAATTAGTGGAAAAAATATGGCACAGGGCACGCAATGAAGTGCTCCACTTGGCCAACTCGCTTCAATGCGTTCCACACAGCCGCAGGTCGAGCCAACAATGCAGCTTTGTTGGGCGGCAGCACAGGAAAAGTACACTGTGAAAAATTCTTAATAACTAAGTAATTCGATCATAAAATTAAAAATGTCAAAGCCACTAGCAAATGGTTTTTTAATCGTATAATGAACTAATACTTAGGTATATTTTGTCTCTAGGACATGCAAATTGTCTAAGAAACCAAACTAATTTATATGACTCATAAGAATTCTTTAATAATTTATTTTTCTTTATAATTAGTTTATTTTAAGACATGATCTAAAGGGATCTAGACCTTAATGAGTACTAAATTAAAATAAAGGTTGATACACAGCGAAGAATCTTTGTTTTCCCGAGTGTGTGTGTCAGGCCAGGCATGAAAGATGGCAGATGCGTTAGCGTTTGTGGTCCATCCGTTTCTGTCTGCTGATGGCGATGGCGAATGGGATGGTGATGCCATCCTCGAAACCCCAGAGCCCTGGACGGAGTCAACCCATTTCCCATACTCTTGCCCCGCCTTAGAGCACATTGTCGTAATGAGCACACCGCAATTTGTGTCGTGTGCTGCGGGCCGTTTGCCATTCATTTGGTAAAAATAACAATTAAATGTTTTCGCAGTGGCCTCTGCCCGGGAACTGGACTCGGAGATCTTCTGTCCCATGGTTCGGGCCAACAATTCACTTTTGTTTTTGGCCTTGTTACCGCTCGACTGCGGCCACTGCTATGAAAATAATTGCTGTGCAAATATTCTTCTAAATTACAACATTGTGTATTTATTTTAGTTGGCCTGGCGAACAGACGCCGCCGGCTTTCGAGTGAAGAGCCCCGAGTTCCTGAAGAGGTCCTGCCAAGGTTATCAAATGCGAGTTTACGCACTGAGCAAAAAATCGGTGGAAAATCGTAATGGCTTAGATACTATCAAATTTGTGTAATCTACTCACTTTTTATTTACCACATATTGTGTAATTTTAAGTTTAAATAGTCTACAATTAGTCAAAATAGAAAAGAGTAACCTATTTTATATCCGTGCTGTTAATTTTTAAATACCTTACATCAGCAGCCAATACTGAAATTATCCTAACAAATTTGATTTATTCACTTCCCTTGAAAAAACAAAATATTTGCAAAACAATGTTGGAAAATACATGTTTTTGTCAGGCCATCAGTACTTGCCCTTCAAAAACACGTCATATTTAAAAGACTTTAAGCTGACATAAAATAATTATATAAGAGAAATTAAATTTAGCACATCTGCTGGCAACAGAAACCTCAACAACTGAAGAATTTCATTTGGATGAAAATTGCAATATGATATTTTTTGACAATTCCTTAAAGAATTCAAGTAGTCATCACAGCAACTGTTGGCAACAGAAGCATTAAGTTATTGTGGTATTCTTTCAGATTTTATGCAGGTTTTATATGTAAAACTAATTATTTTTGACCACACAGCTGGCAACAAACATATCAAGCAACAGGCATCATGTTTTTGGTTTTAATTCTGAACTTTTTTGTAGCTTTGTATCCGACAGCAGGTAACCGTGTTCGTAAATCCGCTGAAGCTCGCTTTTAAAGAGTTCAAGCAGCCAATAAAGCGGGCGACAGGTTCGCTGCCTCACCTGTTTGCATTGGCACCCCATCTGTTCAGCTCGAACCACTTATTATGATGATGCATTTGCGTTTGCACCACCATCGGCACCGCCATCAGCAGCAACAACAAACCGAAACGGGGCAACTATAGTGTATAGTATAACACCCATGTGGGGCGGCAAACGAGCGCAATTTTGTTTATTTCCGGCACAAAATAAACTTTCAAGGATAAGCAAACTTTTTGGCTGCCACAGCCGCTGATGCTGATGCTGCTGCATCCTTAAGCAAATTTCATGAAATAATATTTTAGTGGCGCCAGGGGCAATATGTGAAGTCGTGGCGCACACATCCGCCAGCCAACCGAATACCCAAAAGCCCCAAAAACCCCTTAAACCCGCCCATCACCCACACATCACTTCCTGGCGTGGGAACCGCATAATATTTTTAAGAGCATTTAGTATTTTATGCACCTCTCGTTCGAAAAAAATCTCAATTTATGCGGCTTGGGGGTGGTGTTTTTTTATTCGCTCTAATATTTATACAGTTCCCTGGCTGGCCAAACATTGCTCAAGTCTTGCAGAAATATTTATCTGTCTGCGTGTGGGTGGATGCTAAAGTAATTAAATGTGATCCAACGGTAAGAAACTCAACAAATATGTTAAAGCCAGGAACGCAAAGTTATATACCCGTTTTTTGCACCATTGAATTTAAATTGGCATTAAATGTGCAAATTGCCAGCCATTTCATTTTTCAATGTTTTAATTAGGCGAGTGGACATTTTATTAGTCAGTATTAAAAATTATACCCTATAATATAATTGTATAATCTTTCATCATAAGTATGCCATCCATGCATCCCTGCATCCCTTTGGGTACTAATCTAATTAGACATTCACCATTAAATATGACTAAAAAGATAATACTAATTGGTCGAAGCATTAATCTTTGAATACTTTTCGTTGAGCAATCTCATTTTCGAGCTGTGAGTGGGACCATCATCCTCACCTAGTTTCAAGTAGTTGTCGCGGATGAAGGACTTGAATGGGGTGATCGTAGGATCTGGCCGTGTGCCCATGAAGATGTTGCCTTTTTGGAATGGCTTCACGTTCACCTCAAACTGGCAGTAGTGGCAGCGCAGTTCCTCCTTTTTGAAATCGATCCTTCCGTAGGAACAGCGGGCGCACATGGTGCAGGTGTACATAAAGGTGGCATGGCAGTCGTAGATCGTAGGAAGCTCCGGCATCGCGTTCCCCGCTTGGTAGGCCCTAAAAAATGGAAAATATTTGCAAATAAATGTTAGTAGATCTTGCAGATATTGAAATAACTATTAACTTTTTGTTTGGTTTAAATAGTAGATAAAACAATATAGATAAACATAATTTAACTAGAAACTTATCCCAAAATTCAGTTTACAAAAGTAAATACCAAGTGGTATTAAAAATAGAAAAGGACTATTTTGTTACCAAAAATATTAACCATTATAATAATATAAACCATTTTAGTTATATAAAAATTCTTCAAATATGTATAACTTTTTTAAAGAATAAAAAAGATAAGAGCTCCATCTCACCATTTGCGGCAATGGTCGCCGTGTCCTGCCTCCTGGTTGAAAACGAAGGCCGCCGCGTGGATCATCTCGTGCAGCAGCGATTGGATGAGCGTGTCCTGATGACTGATTTTCCTACAAAGCAGTATGCGGGCATTGCGCTGTCCTAAGGCGTCGATGGCCAAGTCACTTTTGCAGGGTGTTCTCATGTTGCGCTCCCAAACGATCGGCGCCAGCAGGCCGCAGTGAAAGATTGCGTGGTTGAAGATGTTAAACAGCCGCTTGGACAGTTCCACTTTGCAGCTGTTGAAACGGCGCTGGCGATAGGTCAGCGCCAGTGGATGGCACAATTCGATGGAAGTCGTCGGGTTGAGCGACTCCACGAAAGTGTAGAGGTGCGGATGATTCTCCAGGCAGGCGATGCTGCCCCTGTGCATACGACAAATCTTCGCCAGGTTCTTCTTGCTGGGCAGGTTGCTCAGATCGATGGGTTTCTTAAGAAAATCGGGCGTATCTATTTCCAAGCAATTGGCATTGACCTGTAGTATTATATCGTTCGCCTGCCGCTTCGAAGTAATCGGATTGAGGTGTCTTTGGGGTGTGGGAGGTGGAGTGACTGGCCTGGCGGGTGGGGAATCAAAAGTATTTACCTGGACACTTGTCGGTTCTGGATCGCACCCTTTATCGGGATTGTATAGTCTGCGACGTGGTGCCATCAGACCCAGAAATTTCTGGACCTTCGTGTTAAGATCGGCATCGTCTTCCAGTGCGAGATTGGCAAGTGGCTCGTGTCTCACAATGGCCACATGATTGCCTAACTCTATGTAGATAGTAGTTTTCGGCCACTTGGGAGCCTTGAGTGACGACTGATAGTCCGCGACGTGGATTTGATCATCGTACTCCTCCTCGTCATCACTATTCGATTCCATTTTATTTCGGAGCATTATTATTTGTAAAGAAAATGACTTATGTACAGGTATGTAATTATCAGGCTTCAGTAGGAAGTGAAAATGTTTTTTAATAGCCAGTATTGGATAATTTTCACTAAAAGTGTTGAAAAAAATATGCCATATCAAAACGCTTAGACAATTTTAACACAGCAAAAACCCTTTTTCCTTTCCTTTGAGCAGTAAAAAGAATATGATGCCAACAAAAGGTTCTTTTCTTTTGCCTACCATGAATTTCTGGCCTAGTTCAATTGGAATTCAGAATAGGGAACATAATAGGTTAGAATCGACCTTATTCTGACAAGCAACACAAAATTTTTAGTAAATACTACTACCCAATACTACTATTAAAACATTGAGAATAATTATTATTGCATATTGCAAATTATTTAAAAAAAAATTAGCCCCTTCAACAAAGACCAATATTAAATTGGCCTTTGCCTGTAATGTATAATCGGAAGTTAAATGAGGCCGTATAAAAGACTTTGGAAGGAATTCGTTCATATGGGCGTTTTACCTATTTATATTTCTTTTTTACTTATATATTCAGTAACTGCTAATTCCCATGCTCTGTGCCATCATCATCAACTTCGTCTGCCTCTTAAAACATTTCATTTGCTAAATGTTCTATTTGTTGTCACATGGGCTCCACCCACCGAAAAACCACCGAAAACACCACCCACCATTGTGTAGTTCCCACCACACACACAAACTTCCCCTTTCCCCTCCTCCTTCTGCAAATGCAACGCATAGAAATTTCTCTTTGCTAATGAAGTGTGATTGAAATTTTGTTAATTTGCTCAAGTGCTATGTGTGTGTGCGGTGTGTGCTTGTAGAATTTCTTATTTACATAATCTCAAGCATTTGCCATGAATTTCTAAAGATTCGCTTAATTGAATGTAGAAATAATTTGTAAGGCCTCCCGTAAAGTTGCTCGCATAATTTTTCCATTCTCTTCGAAAATCTGGAAAATGGGTCGACAATAGGTAAGAAATTCTTTCAGCGGAAAATGTAAGTGGAAAATGATTGAATAAGTTTTCTTGTGGTGTTTAAAATTGTTCCCACTACCAAGAAATGTGTTTAGTAAAAATATATAAAGTTCTTAGTTAAAATTCGAAAGCTTAAGTTTGATGAATTCCCTGTTGAATTAGAAAAACTATTAAATTACAGTCTTGAAATTTAAGTAACTCTTTATTTAAGGTGTACATACTCAAATAAAAGAAAATAAGTTTATGCCTTCTGGTGAAATGCTTTTCATTTTTCATAAGCAACCCAAGCTCGTATATCAAAAATTTTCACATCCTCATCAAATTAAATTTGACAGTGCTCTATTACGCAATTTTGCGAGAAAACAAGTCCAACTTTAATCAAATCAAATGAGTAAATAGAATTTGCCCAAAAGCTCTGCCAAAAAGCGGAAGTAAACCGCATATAATAAAAAACAAAAGCTGGAATGGAGAGTGTGCAAAACACACGAATATTTTCGGTAAAAAACTAAATAAGACCTGTAGGAAAGTAATTCACATTTTTTTAAGGTAACACATGGCAAAACGTGGAAGTAAAAACAATTACGGAAGGCTAAGGACTAAAGGACAATACTATGTACACTGGCTGCTATGCAGGACAGTCACGGAAATGAAGTTATTACCATTGTTGTTGTGCTGAATTTACTGCGGCCGGAGAGTTTTGCGGCGAATGTTTTCTTTATACTTTTTTTTATAACTTTATTTTCTTTCTATCTGCCCATTAGGGTACAAGGAAAGTTTCTCTGTTTCTCGTTAGCCAAGGACACTCTTTTCAGTTTAAGTTATTTCCAAAATTGGGTATCAAACTGTCTGAAGTCGCTATGTACAGCTGCTGCCGCTGACCAGGATAAATTTATAGTCAACGGAAAGGCGCGCAAATAAAATAACATTGACAATTGGCAATTGAATTTTCAAAGAAATACTCCGCAATAGCAATTGCAATTGATTTAGGCATGCCAAGAGAATTTTCGCTTATAAATTTTAGTCTAGAATCGCATCTGAGGCAAGACCGCGCTTTGCATGGCAATTCTCAATATCCACCGTCTACACGTTAAGAATTCCGGTTTATAAAAACAAAGCTTAAATTCTATTGATGATGAAAAACATAACGTTTTTTCACAGAAAATTCACCTTCGACTTCTAAAAAGACTTATTACCAAAAAAGTAATTAAAAAATGTTCACCTCAGATAGTATTGATATACATATATAGTTTTAATAAAGGACGTTGTTTGTTGCAAAAAATTAAAATTTTTTTTGGTGTCGTTTATTGCCCTCCTTTGAGAATGTTTTTTAATGTTGTTGCTATTGATTGCCTTAGGAAATATAATTTTGTGAGTGCAGCGACTGGCATTATCCATGATAAATCTGCTAGTGTCCAGCATCCAAGTGCAGCTGCAACATTGTTGAACTTCAGCTAAAGGTTAGCCGCCGACGCAAACAAGGCAGGAGCCGGGACATTTCAGCGGGCCTTGTACGTGTTTTGGCCCAAAGCTGCTAGCCAAAGTCCCCGGCAATTGCCACGCATTACACTCGCTGCACTGCAGTTACTTTTGCGGAATGCTTAATTCATGCGTGCGACTGTGGTTGCAACGTTTATGATGTGGTTATGTCGCTGCTGCAGCTGCAATGTTGCTTCTGCCTCTGCCTCTGCCACTCTGGATTCTGGATTCCGCTGCTGTCTTCTTCGGGAGCAGCGTGCTGGCATTGTTTGCTTGCCTCTCACACGGCGTATGCGTAATGAGCTTACGTACCTGCATGCCGTGTAGGTGTGTTGCCTGTGTTGCCAGTGTTGCTGTGCGTGGGCATGTGCTCGTGCCACAATTAGGCATTCTGACTGTGGAATTTGCGTCCAGAGCAGACAACTGTCGAGACTACGTGATGCTGGGATGCTGACACACAGACCAAAAATGTTTTAGTTCGATTTTCATGGCCTATTTCCTAACCTCTTTTTCAAAATATTATTAAAAGAAATAAGTCTATACTGGTACCTTTCACTGCAAAATTGTGTATCTATTTTAATATATCAGAACAAAAGAAGATACAATTGATTTTAATGGATACAAAGGCACTGATTTATAGAGTAAAATTTCTTTAATTAAGTGTTATTTTTTAAGTAAATATACGCATTTACACATACTTTGTGAATAGTAAATAGTAATGGAGCCATCATTATTTCACTCATATTTTTCCCAGTGAAAGCGCTCTTATCCGGCTGCAGGTGTGTAAATTGAAAGCTTTAAAAGGCTGTGGATCATCAGTTGTTGCAACTGCAACTGGTTGGCTCACGGACCTTTGGTTTCGTTTGGCTGACAGCTTTGCGTGCATTAACTGTCAACACTTGTCGACGGCCGATTGCATTTCAACAATTATGACAAAGTGCAGAATGAATTTCAACCTTATTCCTTCTGACGAACAGTAATTGAGATGCCATTAAATATCATTTAACTGATTTTAAGATGCAGATTTTTATTCGCCGAAATTTGCTGAATTTATAGTTTTCGAAGGAGTTGTGCGGCCATTTTACCGATCTTAAAATTTCTTAAACAGATAATTTTTTTGTTTTGGGGTCCAGTAAATGGATTTGACAAAGAGATTTAAGTAAACCGAAAAAGAAGTCAGGAAGCAGATGCCTGACGAAGAAATTTAAAATATTATTCAAAAACAAAGTAGAAATCACGCAGAACAAACAAACTACAAATTGGTAATATATTTGTAGCCACAATTAATTAATCTATCTTCAATAGAAATAAAATAATGTTATATATATACGATTTTCTTAAAAAGCTAAAATATATGTGACATGATTGAAGCTTATCTAAGAAGTGAGTGGTGTTCTGACTTTGGAACACAGTGATGCCTGATGTTGATATCTGTCTGTTCATTCCTTACTATCTTGCCCGCTGGTTGTCCATTTGTTCATCTGTTGATTACACTCCATCCGCACCTCCATCTCCATCTCCAACTACATATCCATCTCCATTGAAATCGCAATCGCAATGGCCGGCTCCCCGGCGAGCTGGCCCACAAGTGCTTTTCCGTTTGACAGGTTGCTGATGGGCCGCAAGCCGAGCGAGTTTAAACGGCGCTTAAAGGCTGCGGCTTCTGCGGCATCTGGGAGCGATCTGGGATGCATTTTTATCTGCGCATTTATGCCTGTTTAATTAAAGGCCCGCACTCGCACATATATCGTACACTGGCCAGTGGCCACTGGGTGCGCGATATAATTTAAAATTTGCATATAGCGAAATTAAATGCAAATTACTAGAGCAAATATATACAGTGATATTTGCATGCTGCCAATGCAAACAAGCGACATAAATGCGCAATTTCGGTTTATTAAATTACATTTAATTTTTTCCAAAAACAACTTCAAATTCGGTGTGTATTTAAGTATTTATTACATTAGTTGTATGTGATAATATTCATTGTGAAAATGTTTGGTTTTTTTTTTTGTTTGTTTTTTAAAGGATAACAATTAAAATAAATTATGTTGGGTAATTAGCTGGCTGGCCATTTTTGGCATTGGAATTTATGTCGTGTAATTTCTGGTTCGAACCAGAATATTAATTAAATTTTTAGTTTTTGCCGGCTTTGCTTATTAGCTATCATTTTAGTTTACCCATAATTAATTTCTCCTTTGTGTTGCGCCAGAAAATTGCAATTAAATTTCATTTCCACGGACTATGGTGAACAGATAAAAAAGGAAAGGAATCCTGCGAAAATGGCGTGAAAAATATCAAAATCAAATTGTGTGCGTAAATAAATTGAATTTTGATTGCCGTTCGCCAGGTTTGTTGCTGCACTAACGAAGCTCCATTGTTGCCATGCCCTCAAATCCGCTTCCTACGCCTTCCAAACACACAGAGAAAAAACCCCAGTCAGTCACTCATCTAGGCTTTATTAATGACGATTTGTCAGCGAACTGCACGTAGAAGCACCGAACAATATGCAATGCAAATTCGTGCGAAAATTTCATTTTCGCCAATTCAGTT